TTCAGAAACAATTTAAGCCACCAAAGGATATATGTGTTTGATATCTTATCTACAAAATCAGTCACAAAGATAACTTTGAATGATTGTCATCCCGTATATTCACATTAAGAATTTTTTGTTTGTTCTACTTAATAATATTGGTTGAATTCTGTAATTAATACACAGTTATTCTTAAGTGTTGAAATTTAACTGAAAAGTGATCCATGTTAAATATAAGAGTGGGAATAAGAGAGGGAAGAGATGTACAATTTGGGACATGCTCAAGCTGACTTGCCCCAAATGGTAGACTTAGAAACATACTAGGGGACTCCAATTCAATCCCATCAAGGTGGCATGTACCAATGCCATCTCACTAGTCCAAGTGATCAATTTCTGTTCACAATTGATCGTAATGAAAGGACTAAGAGTCAAAGGGATCACATAAAAAAGACTAGTGTCTGAAAATACTAACCGATAGAATAAAAAAGGGAGAGAACGATCCAACATGGGAAGCAGGATACACAGCAGACTCATAGAATGGTAGATGTCCTAAACAGCACTCTGGCCTCAGAATCAGCCCTTAAGGCATTTGGATCTGGCTGAAGAGCCCATGAGAGTATTTTAGGCATGGAAAGCCAAGACGCTCTGGCAAAAAAATGACCTAAATGAAAGATCTCTGCGAGTGAGATCCCAGTGGAAAGAACGGGTCATCAAAGAAGGCAGTACCTTTCTCTGAAGGGAGGAGAGAACTGCCACTTTGACTATGACCTTGTCTAAATATGATCACAGTTGGTAAACTCAAAAGGCCTCCATAGCCTTGGCAACTCATGACTAGAGCCTAGGGAGATTACTGAGGCCATAAACAAGAGTGTCAATTTGTTAAGTCAACAACAGGAGTCACTGTGTACTTACTCCTCATGTAGGATCTCTGTCCTTAATGTGCTGTACATTGTGATTTAATGTTATAACTAGTAGTCAAATAGTATTTTTCACTGTTTCTATGTGGGTGCAAACTGTTGAAATATTTTCTTAATATTTACTAAACTGATCTTCTGTATATAAAGATAATTGAAAATGAATCTTGATGTGAATGGAAGGGGAGAGGGAGAGGGAAAGGGAAGGGTTGTGGGTGGGAGGGACATTATGGGGGGGAAGCCATTGTAATCCATAAGCTGTAATTTGGAAATTTATATTCATTAAATAAAAGTTTAAAAAAAGAAAATTAGGCAAGAAAAATGTTAGAAAAGAGTATACATATGTTTTGTGGATTAAGCAGGAAATTATTTGAAAGAAAATATTATGTTTAATTTGTAAGGATCAATTAATACATCCATGAAATAGCAAATTTGCACTGACAGTCTTGGTGAAAATTTGGAAAGCTGGAATCTCAGAGCTACTTGCTATATCACACTTTTCTTGAGAATAAAACATTGGAGTGGTGCACTAGACTATCTATTCCTCTGTCTGTGGCACTAGCATCCCATATGGGTGCTAGTTCTAGTCCTGGTTACTCCTCTTCCAGTTCAGTCTCTTCTGTGGCCTGGGAAAGCAGTGGAGGATGGCCCAGGTGCTTGGGCCCCTGTACCTGCATGGGAGACCAGGAGGAAGCATCTGGTTCCTGGCTTTGGATCAGTGCAGCTCTGTCCATTACAGCCATTTGGGGACTGAACCAATGGAAGGAAGACCTTTCTCTCTGTCTCTCTCTCACTGTTTATAATTCTGTCCAATAAAATAAAAATCTAAAAAAAATGGAAAGGAAATACTAAAGAAATAAATGAATGTCTCAATTTTTCAAAAGTATAAATGCACTGCACTTTCTTTTTTAAAAAAATTTTTTTGACAGGCAGAGTGGACAGTGAGAGAGAGAGACAGAGAGGTCTTCCTTTGCCATTGGTTCACCCCCCAATGGCCGCCGTGGTGCTGCTGGTGCACCGCGCTGATCCAAAAACAGGAGCCAGGTGCTTCTCCTGGTCTCCCATGCAGGTTCAGGGCCCAAGCACTTGGGCCATCCTCCACTACACTCCCTGGCCAGAGCAGAGAGCTGGCCTGGAAGAGGGGCAACCGGGACAGAATCTGGTGCCCAACCGGGACTAAAACCCAGTGTGCTGGCGCCACAAGTGGAGGATTAGCCTATTGAGCTGCAGTGCTGGCCCACTGCACTTTCATTACAATGAAATACATAAAGCAGCTACCTTATGAAAAGAAAAGGTTTAACTCAATTTTGGATACCCAATGTCCAAATGACATAACACAGACCCCTCTGGTAAGAGTCTGATGCTAATAGCTAAGCCTATATGGAAGAAAGATCACAGGGTGAGGAGGAAAAAGAATTGGAACAGATCAGGCTTTTACAACAAGCTTCTCATGAAGACTGAAAAGGTCACATGGAAACAACCTTCCAAGTGTATCCATCCACAGGACCCCACTTCATAAAGTACCTAAGTTCCCTGGTAACACTGCTTTTGATGTATCTCTTTAAGTTTTATATTGCATATTCATTTTTTCTATGAATATTTTGATTCCTCCTTTTTTTTTTTTTTGACAGGCAGAGTGGACAGTGAGAGAGAGAGACAGAGAGAAAGGTCTTCCTTTGCCGTTGGTTCACCCTCCAATGGCTGCCGCGGCGTGCTGTGGCCAGCGCACCACGCTGATCCGATGGCAGGAGCCAGGTACTCATCCTGGTCTCCCATGGGGTGCAGGGCCCAAGCACTTGGGCCATCCTCCACTGCACTCCCTGGCCACAGCAGAGAGCTGTCCTGGAAGAGGGGCAACCAGGACAGAATCTGGCGCCCCGACCGGGACTAGAACCCGGTGTGCCAGTGCCGCAAGGTGGAGGATTAGCCTAGTGAGCAGTGGCGCTGGCCCTTGATTCTTCCTTTTGATTTATATTATGACCCACTCTTCATTCAGGAGCATGTTGTTCAGTCTCCATATATTTGAATATTTTTAAGAGATTCTTAAGTTGTTAATTTCCTGTCTTGCTCCATTGTGGTTAGATAACATACATGGTATGATTTCAATTTTTTTTTAATTTGATGAAACTTGCTTTATGGCCTAGCATATGGTCTATCTAGAGAAAGTTACATGTGCTGATGAAAAGAATGCATATTATTCAACTCTAGGATGAAATGTTCTGTATAGATATCAGATACATTTGGTCCATAGTGTAGTAAGCTCTGTTTGTTGATTTTTTTGTCTAGTTGATCTATCCATTGATGAAAGTGGGGTGTCAAAGCCCCCCATTAATTTTGTACCTTAAGCAAATTGAGTATAGAAGGAACATTCCTCAACACCATCAGATGACAAGCCCGCAGTCAGCATCATATTGAATGGGCAAAAGTTGGATACCATCAAATTAATGGAGGACAATATCTGGGGAAATGCTACAAGACACTGGCATAAGCAAAGACTTCTTAGGAACCACTCCAGAAGCAAAGGCAATCAAAATAAAAAATAGACAATTGGGATTATATTAAGAAGTTTCTGGGGGCGAGGATTGTGTATGATTTATTTTGAAAGTCATAGTTACAGAGAGTGCGGGGGAGACAAACAGGGAGATTTTTCCATTCCCTGGTTAACTCCCTAAATGGCCACCATGGCCAGCACTAGACCAGGATGAAACCAGGACCCAGGAGCTTCATCCAGGTCTCCCATATAGGTGTCTTGGACCCAAACACTTGGGACATTTTCTACTGCTTTTCTCAGGACAGTAGCTGAAAGCTGGATGGGAAGTGTAGTAGATGGGGCATGAATCATTCTCATATGGGACGTTGGTGTCACAGGCAGCAGCAGCTTTACCCACTATGCCACAACATCAGCCTCACAAAAATATTTTTAAGTTTTTAACATCATAAGAATTTTTATTTGAAAATAACATATTCTAATGCAAGCCACATTATGTGCATATATTCAATAGTCTTGACCTTACAACTTCAAGCAGGATGAAATCTACCTAAGTTAAGAAAGCATACCATGGAATTACCATCACCTATATTTGAGGTTTAAAGTTATTTTACAGCCAGATGCAATTTCACAAATTGCATAAGTCTGATGAGATTATTATATATAGTAATCAAACATAAACTGTTACAGAACAATTGATATAAAGTTGTAGACAGATACATATGAAGGTAATAATTCTCCCATCTGTAATATTACAAAAGTTATCAGTAATTAACTTACATTATAAAAAGAAAAAAAATTATGCTCACAAAACAGAACCTTTACATGTAAAAATCTATGATTGAAAACAGTAATTTGAGAACTACTGTTCAATAAAAATTTGATTATCATTGACTCAACCTTGTTATTTAAATGCACATTTAAAATAACTTTCTGAAGGTAAATGTTTATTCTATGCTAGGTACAAAATAAAATCTTACAATACACTTCTGTCTCACAAGTTTACAGACAAATCAGTCAGACTGACCACACATCAGCCTGGTAAGTGTTGTCAAAACTATCTTCCCAGGGAACTACTGAGACAGAAGAGAAAACAAAGAGATCTCACCACAGAATATTGTATGAGGAATCCCTGGTTATAAACCAATTCAAAGAAGTCACCAAACATTTTTCAACTGAGTTCATCTGTATACACAGGGACAATGATATATAGTTCATCATTTACTGTTCTTGGGAGAAGAATTCATGTCCATTCACACTCACTCTGCACAAGGCACTGTTAAGGGCTCAGAGAGACAAAGCACATCCCACAGGGCTCCAATGTGGTTAGGGGGTGAAAAGGCTGAGGATCGCTGGACAAATCATCACTTTCAGTGAGTTCACTATCCCTATCCCTTTAATTTCCTGGCAAGTTCAAAGATTTAAAAAGTGTCTAAACCAAGTCTTATGTTTTGTCATGTATGTTCAGAATGGGATCATTATGCATCAGAATTACCTGTAATGCTTGGAAGTGCCCAAGCCAGGCCTCACTCAAAGTTTAGTGCTTCAGAATCCTCTAGGAGCCTGGCAGTTCTGAGGCATCTTCCTAGTCAAGAGCTCTTTCATTTTAAAGGCTGCTAACAGAAATGCACATGCTTATTAATAGGAGTACACATATGTCCATTCAACTTGTATTTCTTACCATAAAACTCATCATGTGTCACAGACCCATTTAAAGTTCTCATTAAAAAGACTTCCAGTCAAAACAGGAGAGCAACAGCAAATGGTCCACAGCATTGCTGACCTCAGCTGGCAGAGGCCTTTAGGTTCTGATACTGAACATAATCTGTATGTGTGCATCCTTTTCAGGGGAACAAAAGCGGGGCAAGCCAATCAAGGTTATGAATCCCTAACAATATTTTCAATATTAAACTAACCTCTAAAGTAAAGTCCACTGAATACGGTTACAAATATGGTAAACTGACACAGCTGGTTCTCTGAATGGATGATTGTCCAAGGTTAGCTCATGGCCATGTTTTCATTTATTGCACCTATAACATGTGACAGATTTCACATCTGGGCCAGTTGCAGAACCTCAGTAAAATGAAAGTAATAGTGCTTCATTGCTGCAGCTACTATTACATAAAAAAGTCAGAAAACTAAGCATCACACATTATTATTATAAAAGCTAGCACAAGTATAATGTCTCAAAAAATCCCCATTCATATATAATTTTAACACTACACCTGGAAGAAATATTTAATATTAAAAGCAATTTTTTCAGAGTACACAACCACAAAGGAGAGTATAAGGATTTGTCATACAGATATTGTGTTCCCTTAGGCACCTCACATATAAAATATGGAAAACAGTGCTACCAGAGGAAAATTTGACTGTTGCATTTGTTGACCCTGTCTAGTTTGAGCGTTTGTAGTTCACCCTAAACTCCCACATGAACCAACGCATGCGCTTCAGCCAATCACGTGCTCAGCTGCCCAGCCCCAGGGTCTGGGAAGAGCAACATGGAGGCTTCTCCCAATGTGGAGGCCCTGACTGCACCTGGCACTGGGGCCATGAATCGACCTTTCGCGGACAAAACCAGCTTCCTTCCCCGTGACCCCAGGTGTACTCCGCATCCAACGCAGACCATCCCTTCTCCCGCTCACTGCAAGAGCCCAGACTCCTGCATGCTGCCCATGGCAGACATGGACCCTGTTTGAAGGCCGCATTGGCGCCAAATTCGGAGGTAATGTATAAGAGGGTGTAGCTGGCCTGGAGCACAGACAGGGAAGCGGCTGCGAAGGCTGAACCCGGCACCTTCTTTTGCTAATAGGCAGTGGCAGCACTCTCAGTGCATAGAAGCCACTCTCCTCTCTGCCCAAGGCCTGGCCAAGCAGGAGGAGGGACCCTGACCGGCCCCGAGGATCCAGTGCAGAGCCGGAACCCGGCCATCCTCCTTTAGAGGGCCGGGCTGCTCACCTCCATGCCCACGGCCGGGCCAAGCAGGAGGGCACACCCTGACGAGCTCTGCTGGAGGTAATGGCCACATCCCGCCTACCAGTTGCCACCTTTTCCCGCCCCTGTCAGCGCTGACATTTTTTATCTCTATGGAAATGGTTGTGGCTGGGCCAGGTTCCTCTCCGGCTTCTCCACTTTCTCCTCTTGCTTTTTCTGTCCTCGTAGGCTGTTCTGTAGTCCCTCTTCCAGCACTTGCTGGCTCCTTGCCGGGCCAATCACCATGTTGTCTGAGGGGAGCATGAGGATAAAATATTTGTGACTTCTCCTTGGAAGTCTTCAAAGAAAGGTCTCTGTAAGTCAAACCAATGGTAACTTTTCCCTTTCCCCATCACTGGTAGACATTGTTTTAGATAATGTTAGTAAAACAATAAAATCACACTTTTGAAGCGGTTGTAGATGCTCTCAAAAGTGCTTTCACACAAACTCTCAGCTCCACTGTGACACTTACCCACCGGCATTTCTTTTCTAGCTAAATTGTTATTAAGCCCTGTCTTCTTGCTTTTGATTAATGAAGGACTTTTCATTTTCTTTTTGGGAGCAAAGGAAGTAAAGAGTAGTGATGTGGGGAATAAAATATATTAATTTACACATCTCTTTAATCATTATGTAAGGTTCACACTTGAAATACAAGTTTAATAAGATCATACTTTCTGCCAATCCATGTATCATTTGTTCTCAAATAGTAACTCTAAAAATAAATATACCTTTGAATTTCATTCTCCACAAAATTTAATAGAAGTGTATGTATACATGATACACATAAAAGTGTGCAAATGCAGATTATATTTTAATTAAACTTTATTTTTTTCAATTAAATAAAAAAATAAGAAATATAATTAGGGCTATTGGTAGGTTTTAAGCATGGAGATTTTTATGTCAGATTTTTAAAAGATCACATAGATTGTTGAGACTAGACAGCAGAGGGTAAGTGTAAATGGTAATACCAGTTAAGAGATAGTAGAAGTTTTTCCAGGGAGAGCTGATGGTATCTTGAACCAGGGAGGAACAGTGGAGAAACTGAGATCCTCACTGTATTCACAATATATTAAAAAAAAAAAAACCTCAATCATAAGATTAGTGAGTGATTTTATGTTACAGAGTAGTCATACTTAAATATGACTCCTAGGTTTTTATATTGGGCTGGAAGGTGGTTTTGATTTGCCTGAATAAGGTAAAACATAAAGAGGAGTAAAGTTAGATAAAGTGGTTAGGAATTACTAGTAGAATAGGAAGTTGATAACTTCTGACTTCTTGGCTTATATCCCAGAGAGGAGTGGAGCTGTTCACTTCTCAGAGACATGGCATGGCACAGCATTCACAGCCTTGCCAGTGTTCTTGGTCTTTGTCAGCCTGTTCTTTACTGCTTGATGGCAAATCCACTCCCAGAGTTAGATCCTGATCCTGGAATGGCTTTGTTGATTTGGGCTTCTGTTTCCTCTTCTTCCAAACTCTCAGAACTGCTAATGGTGTCTGACACATAAGTATTGTCTTGTAGTGGCACATCTTCCTCTGCCTTCTGATTCCAGCTGGGCGCTGAGGTTGGTTTCCCATGCATATTCATGTCCAGGAGGTTATAGGCTGAGTCAGGAACCACCTGGCCTCTCTGTTCCTTCACTGGTATCTCTCTCTCACTCACCCAACCACACACACACACACACACACACACACCTTCCTCCACTGATACATAACAGTGTAACACACACACACACCCTTCCTTCACTGATAGATGACAGTGTAACACACACACACACACACTCTTCCTTCACTGATAGATGGCAGTGTAATACACACACACACACACTTCCTTCACTGATAGATGACAGTGTAACTCACACACATCTTCACTGATAGATGGCAGTGTAACACACACACACACACATCCTTCACTGATACATAACAGTGTAACATACACACACACCCTTCCTTCACTGATAGATGGCAGTGTAACACACACACACACCCTTACTTCACTGACACATGGCAGTGTAACACACACACACCCTTTCTTCACTGATAGATGGCAGTGTAACACACACACACACCCTTCCTTCACTGATAGATGGCAGTGTAACACACACACACACACACCCTTCCTTCACTGATACATGGCAGTGTAACACACATACACACCTTCCCTGATAGATGGCAGTGTATCAGATCAGCTCTCATCGCCAATCTGAAGCCAGGAGCCAGGAGCTTCTTCCTGGTCTCCCATGCAAGTGCAGGGGCCCAAGAACCTGGGCCATCTTCTACTGCTTTCCCAGGCCATAGCAGAGAGCTAGACTGGAAGAAGGGCAGCCAGGACAAGAACCTGCACCCACATGGGATGCCAGCACTGCAGGCAGAGGATTAACCAAGTGAGCCAAGGCGCTGCCCTGACTAACAGCATTTTCAATTGAAAATGGGTTAATGAGAGCTTTGGTGGTGAGGGAGGTGGCGGCAGTGGGGACCAGTGCGGGGAGGGCAGAGGTCCTGCCTGGGCCTAGTGGCCCCCTCCCACCTCCAGCACCTCCAGCCCTGGCTGCAGCCCAGCCTTGCTGCCCCTTCCCGACTACACTCACCTGCTGCAGCGAGGATGAGGAAGCCAAAGAGGAGCCTGAAAGCGGTTGCAGGAACCCAGTGGGCTGCCAAGGGGCATCTGTGCCTCCACTGCCCTCAGCCACTGCCACAGCAGCCGCAGCTCCATGGATTGATCAGCCCCGAACTGAACCCCTCAGGGCGGCCACCACCCTCAACAGCAAGGTCCAGGGTGTGCATGGGCACCCCGGCAGGAGCTCCAAAGTGACTGCAACAAAAGGAGCTCAGTACCCTCGGGCAAGAGGCCCCCTCGCTCCCGCTCCAGGGATGCAAGAACTGCACCCCCCAGCCCAGCAGAAATGGCATCAAGCGATCCCATGGTGGCCCACAATGGACTGGACTGGCCAAGGGTGAGGAGGAGCAGGAGGAGGTGTGGCTGCTATCTTTGTCCCTGACCTCAGGCTGCAGTTTAAGAAGCACCTCAGGCAGGGAGGTTGAGCCAGGGGAGGTTCTGATGATAGGATAGGGTAGTGCCAATAGGAATCTGAGCTCCAGATGCCTGATGTGATGAGACTGAGCACCAAACATCTGTCCGAACCCTACTCCATTTATACTTATAGAGATTTTATCCACAGCTGGCCACAGCTGTGCTTCTTTACCATCATAGGGGAGGAGTGTGTAGGTGTCATCGTTTGCAAGTTGGATATGCACAAAAAGATGTTCTGCAGAGGTTATATAGCCATGTTAGCTGTGGATTCCAAACCCAGGAGTAATGGCATGGGTACTAACTTGCATAAGAAAGCTATTTATGCCATAGTTGAAGGAGACTGTGAGGAGGTTGCTTTGGAAACAGAAATAACAAATAAGTCTGCTTTGAAACTTTATGAAAATCTTGGTTTTGTTCCAGATAAGAGGCTATTCAGATATTATTTAAATGGAGCATTTGTTCTTAAATAAAAGAGATTGTTTTAAACTTCAGGTGTCTTTTGGTATGAAGAAGATGTGTCAGTTGATAGCCAAGATTTGTTTGTTAATTTGCAAAGTCTGCTGACAATGCTATTTACATAGTGATAATTTTATCACAGAACCAGTAAGTGGAACACGGTTTTTGTTCTTAAAAAAAGTCACCATAGGCCGGCGCCATGGTTCAATAGGCTAAACCTCTGCCTGTGGTGCTGGCACCCCGGGTTCTAGTCCCAGTTGGGGCACTGGATTCTGTCCCAGTTGCTCCTCTTCCAGTCCATCTCGCTGCTGTGACCTGGAAGTGCAGTGGAGGATGGCCCAAGTGCTTGGGCCCTGCACCCGCATGGGAAACCAGGAGAAGCACCTGGCTCCTGGCTTCGGATCAGTGCAGTGCGCCAGCTACAGCAGCCATTGGGGGGTGAACCAATGGAAAAGGAAGACCTTTCTGTCTCTCTCTTTCACTGTCCACTCTGCCTGTCAAATAAATAAATAAATAAATAACCACCAAAGATGGTAAAGTCTCTAAATATATTAACATTTCACACAATACCTACCATAATTTTCTGAAGGGGGTGGGAGAACAGCTTCAATTTTAGGTTTTATTATTATTTTTCAATATTAGATTTCCCAGTCTTGAATATTGGTACCTCATTGATTAGTGAATGAGAAAGTGTAGAATGGGGTATGTCTTACGAGTAAAGTTAATTAAGTTATGTCTGCCAGTGCCTGTGTAGATAAAAATGTGTGTCTTCATCTTAGCTTTTGAATGCATGCTCTTTTTCTTTCAGGCTTTTACAAGTAAACTTTTGTTTTCATTTAAATTCTAAATTTGATAATAAATTATTTCAGGGTTTTATAATTTGGATACTTTTTCCAGGTGAGTGACAGAGTGGTTGACTTTAGACGTCCCTTCTTTCATTGCACTAAGAAGTTGAATCTACTTGGAAAACCTTTGAGGAATGGCCCCAAGGGGATGACAAAATTTGATGGAGGGCCAGTGCCGTGGCTCACTAGGCTAATCCTCCGCCTTGCGGTGCCAGCACACCAGGTTCTAGTCCCAGTTGGGGTGCCAGATTCTGTCCCGGTTGCCCCTCTTCCAGGCCAGCTCTCTGCTGTGGCCAAGGAGTGCAGTGGAGGATGGCCCAAGTGCTTGGGCCCTGCACCCCATGGGAGACCAGGATAAGTACCTGGCTCCTGCCATCAGATCAGTGTGGTGCGCCGGCCGTGGCGGCCATTGGAGGGTGAACCAATGGCAAAGGAAGACCTTTCTCTCTGTCTCTCTCTCTCACTGTCCACTCTGCCTGTCAAAAAATAAAAAAAAAAGTTGATGGAGTTTGGAATTACTTGGTTTTGGACTAAAAAGTCAAATGATTACCATATTGTTCCACTGGTTTATATTGAATATCAGCATATAACATACATCTTTAATTGGGTATGTAAAAATTGTTAAGTAGCCTAAAATGTTCAGTTTTAGCATGATAACTCAGCACCAAAATTAAGTCTCCAAGTTGAGGCAAACATCAAATATTATTTTTTGATATTAGGCATTCATTTGTCTGATACAAGTTTAAATACAATTCAATTATAATTTGATAGAGGGGGTTCACTTGGCAAGAACTGAGCAAAATTGTTGCAACTTTCTTTTAATGGGGGTGCTGTCTCTTTTTAAGACTGACTGTGCTATCCACTGACACTGGTTTGGCAGTTGGTACTGCTGAACATTTCACTACATGCTACCATGAAGCTG